AAATGGTGCTGGCAAAACTGGATCTCCATCTGTAGAAGAATGAAACTAAACGCCTATCTTTCACCCTGCATGAGTCAATTCCAAATGGATCAAAGACCTCAATGTAAAGCCTGAAACTCTGAAACTATTAGAAGAAAACGTTGGGAAAAACCTGTAAGATATAGGTGTAGGTTCTAAACCGGACATCAATTGCTCAGGAAACAAGGGCAAGAAGTAACAAATGGGACCTCATTAAACTAAAAAGCTTCTGTACATCAAAGGAGGCAACCAGGGAAGTGAACAGAAAACCCACAGAATGGGAGAAAATCTTCACCAGCGACACATCCGACAGAGGCTTAATATCCAGAATATATAACGAACTCAGAAAACAGAGACTCAAGACAAGAAGCAACCCAATGAAAAGATGGGCTAAGGAGCTGAAGACAGAGTTCTCAAAAGAAGTAAAGATGGCTATGAAACATCTTAAAAAATGTTCAACATCACTAATAATTAGGGAAATGCAAATTAAAACCACTTTAAGATTTCATCTTACCCCAGTCAGACTGGCTAAGATCAAGAGAACAAATGATACCAAATGTTGGAGAGGATGTGGGGAAGGGGAACACTCATCCACTGCTGGTGGGGCTGCAAACTTGTTCAACCCCTATGGAAAGCAGTGTGGAGAACTCTTAAAAAACTACAAATGAACCTACCATTTGACCCAGTTATACCACTCCTTGGCATATACCCAAAGAACTAATCCTATTGCAGAGACACTTGTACATCCACGTTTGTTGCTGTTCTTTTCACAGTAGCTAAGAGATGGAAGCAACCTAAGTGTCCCTCAGTTGACAAGTGGATAATGAAAATGTGGTTCATTTATATGATGGAGTTTTACTCAGCAGTAAAGAAAGATGAAATGAAATTTGCAGGTAAATGGACGAACTAGAAACGGTTATACTAAGTGAAGTAACAGACTCAGAAAAAAAAATCGACATATGTTCTTCCTCATATGTGGATCCATAACTACAGGAACCAGGATAATGAAAAGGAAACAGGGAGGTAAAGGAAAAGAAAGAACCTGAAAGAGAAGAATAGTAGGAAACAGGCCTTAATAATGAGATATGGATAAAAACTGGGTTAGCTTAAGGGAGTGGGGAGGGAAGGGTATACAAGGAACCTAGGGGATAAGGGGAAAGAAGGAGCTCAAGAGAGGTAGGGCTGCAGAA